AGTGGCGGTGGGCGGGGCGGGGCGTGGTGCGGTGGTGGCGGGCGGATGGGCGCGCGAGAAAGAGGCCCGCGCTGGGGCGAGAACGCCATCCTGAACGACGGAGGCAAAACACCGATCCGAAAATGAGGCCCACGCTGCAGCGGGAGCACGGTTCAGAACGAACGGAAGCTCGAAAATGAGGCCGGCGCCTCAGCGAGAGCAGCACATTGCAAAACAATCCCAAGCGAAAACCCAACTTCGGGAAATCCTGTGTGTAAAAAGACAGTACGCGGAGGGGTGCCCGCCATCTTCCGCACGTTATCAGGGGAAGGAGGAGAGTGGATTCATACTGAATCATTGTGGAGGAGGAGGAGGAGGAGGAGGAGGAGTGAGGAGGGAGGAGGAGGAGGAAGGAGGAGGGGAGGGGGAGGAGGAGGAGGAGGAGGAGGAGGAGGAGGAGGAGGAGGAGGAGGAGGAGGAGGAGGAGGAGGAGAAGGGGGAGGGGGAGGAGGAGGGAGGAGGAGGCGTGGAGAGGAGGAGGAGGAGGAGGAGTGAGAGGAGGAGGAGGGGAGGAGGAGGAGGAGGAGGAGGAGGAGGAAGGTGAGAGAAGGAGGAGGAGCGGAGGAGGAGGAGGCGGAGGAGGAGGCGGAGGAGGAGGAGGAGGAGGAGGAGGAGAGGAGGAGGAGGAGGAGGAGGAGGAGGGGGAGGGGGACAGGAGGAGGAGGGGGAGGGAGGGGAGGGGGAGGAGGAGGAGGAGGAGGAGGAGGAGGAGGAGGAGGAGGAGGAGGAGGAGGAGGAGGAGGAGGAGCGAAGAGGAGCGAGGAGGGAGCAGGTAGGAATCCGGAACGTCTACGACGGGTTCCGGCGCTTCGGGGAAGGCTCCGGGGAGGCTCGGGGCACGCGGAGGGGCCCTTCGCGTGCAGTGAGTGTCCCTGGTGGTCTTTGGCCCGGGGACCCTAGGGCCAGGCTTCGGGCACATGAAAGATTACCACCTGTTTTTACCGCTCCACCCCTCTCTCTCTCTCTTTCTCTCCCTCTCTGATTGAGCCTGCGTGCGAAACTTGAACGACCCAGGTGCAAGCGAAATGCCAGTGCTGTCTTGTGTGTGTGTGCGTGTGTGTATGTATATATATATATATAAATATATATATATATATATATATATATATATTACATACGAATATCGTTAACTTTACAAGCTCAGGGTATAGACTTAACCATGGTATGCTTTTAGGAACCAACCTTAGAAATTCATCCTGAGAGCACGAAGCGGAATTGCTCTGCGACTAGTCCTGTGCTCCAACTCTGGACACCAACGACTCATCCATGAAGGTGCTGGTCATGTGCAGCAGGGCAGCCGCTCGAGTAAGCGCATTACGGTCAGGAGCGCTTGCTCAGCGTATCGCGGCGGCTGCCCTGGCGACACGGTATTCCCTGCAAGCGGATGGCGTGTCGCTCCGCTCCGCGGGGCAGGAGGCTGGGCAAAAGCTCGGGACGTTGTCGCCGGCGGACCGGGCCGTGGACAGCGTGTCGCGCCGCCTTGCGGTGGGCCAGAGCCAGCGGCGCGACACGCTCAGGCAAACTTCCTGACCGTAATGATCATCGGCCTGTCCACGGCCCATGTTTTCTCACCAAGCTGCACTGCAGCAGCATCTGAACTGTCGGCGGTGGGCCCAGAAATGAGCTGCCGTCCCCTGCGCTCTCTGAGCAGGGCCATCCCACTTCCGAAAGATGCGAGGGTGCCCTTGCTGTCGCGACGCCTTCGTCTCGGCAACAGGCGCTCGTGATCCCGACGCGGGCACAACCTCGGCTGGGCTTTCCTATTTGATAGCGCATCGCTCGTTCCCCTGGTCTGGGCAACAATCTGTCCGCCCCGGATTTGAAAGTTCGAGCAGTGCTCTGCAAACGAATGGTCCACGATGTGCCATGTATGCTGGGTTGTCGCGATATGCAGTCCCACGGTGGTCGATGCAGGTATGGGCCTCTGCTCCCTGAACAAGTGACGCTTGTCTGCTTGTCGTTTAGAGTCCATGGACAAAAACGATAGTAAGTAGATGGCTCTCATGGATTTTTTTCGAGGGCCTGGCGAAGCAAACGTTACAGTAGCGATTCCCTCTGATATCCATCCTCCGACTCAGGGAGCTTAGACAAACCAAATTGAAAGGAACGCGACTCGTGAGGAAGACCGTGCGTCCCAGCGGCCGGTAGCACAGAGCCGCAACCTCCGGACTGGTGCGTGTGCCCCGAGGTCCCCCGGAGGCCTCTGGAGGTCCCTGAAAGACTCCGAAGTCCCAGGGAGGCCTCTGCAACTTTTCGCACACCCAGGGAGGGCCAACCGTGTCAAACAAAAGCTCCTCCTGGGGAGGAACAGGGGGGGAAGGGGGAAGAGGAAAGAGGACGACGAGGAGGAGACGAAGGAGAAAGAGGAGGACGAGGGAGAGGAGGACGAGGTGAACGGAAAGGAAGACGAGGGCCCCGTCCCCTGGCAGGCCACGCGAAGGGCTCCGGGTTCAGGGGCTCGCCGAGCAACTCCACGAACATGGTCCAGAACCGAGGGCCTCCGGCGACGGCAGAGGTGGTGGCGTATGTGCTGGGAGGGGCGATGGAATAAGCTGAGGATGAGGAGGACGTGGATTAGTAGGAGGAGGAGCCCCAGGCCGAGGAGCACTTGGGACCCAGACTCCCTGACGTCGACAACGTGGGCCCCCAGAGTCTGCACCCCTTCCCCAGAACTGGCTTCTCATCCTGACTTGACTTTTGACGCTCCCGGCGCCAGGGAAGGGCCCCGAGGGGCCGCAGGCTATCGGAAGCCGTCTGTCGTACTTCTTTCCCAGCCCGAGGGGGTCCGTGGATGGCACCTGCTTGCCCTCGCCCACAAATCCCCCACACCAGCGATCATCATCCCAGCAACCCGAAGAGGACACAGCGCGGCCAGCATCTCCGCCAGCACCCACGTGATCGGAGGCAGCTCCCGCTCCCGAGCCTCTCCTGGGTGCATCAATACTCCGCCGGCTGCCGGGGAACATCCGGGGGCCTCCCGACCGACCCGAGGAGCGCGGGTCTGCTCTTCCTCCGCCTCCGCCTCCTCCCTGTCCCCCTCTTCTCCTTCTTCTTCTCCTTCCTCCTTCTCCTCTTCCTTTTCCTTCTCCTCTTCCTCCTCCTCCTCCTCCTCCTGCCCTCCGTCCTCCTCCTCCTCCTCCTCCTCCTCCTCCTCCTCCTCCTCCTCCTCCTCCAGGCCCGCCGTCCCCCGCGCCTTTGTCGAGGGGCACCACGGAGAAGATGTACGTGAGCACTCCGGAGGTGCCCTGGCAGCCGCCGCCGTCTCTCCGCCGTGGGAGGGCCCCTCCCCTCCCTTCGTCGTGGCGGTCCACCTCCTCCTCCGCTCTCGCTCCGCTTCCAACCCGCATGCCCCTCTCCTCCCCTCTCCCTCCTCCCTCAAGCCTCCTCCTCGCCTCCTCCTCCTCCTCCTCCCTCCTCCCTCCTCCTCCTCCCTCCTCCTCCTCCTCCTCCTCCTCCCCCTCCTCCTCCTCATCCCTCCTCTCCTCCTCCCTCCTCCTACTCCTCCCCTCCTCCTCCTCCTCCTCCTCCTCCTCCTCCTCCTCCCCCCCCCACTCCCGTTTTCACGTTGCACAGACTATCGGGTGATCGCAGCGTTTCCTCATCCTCCTCCTCCTCCTCCTCCTCCTCCTCCTCCTCCTCCCACCTTTCCTTTCTCTCCCTCCTGCCTTCCCCTTGGTCTCCCTCCCAGATCCTTCACCTACCTCAGTTCTGTCCCCGCCGCTTCTGCTCCTCTCCCCTCGACCAACGCGGACAATCAGCATTCTTCAAACTCGAGAGACAGTGTGCGAATACTGCCAAGGTTCGTCTGTGTGATGCATCCACCTTGCAGAATTATGTAGTAGCATGGGATCTCCACGAAGAGTCTACACGCCCCCCCGCCCCCGCGTGGGACATTTTCTGCGAAGCTTAAGCTCCAATATCTCGGGAACTCAATGCTGGGGAATGACATTTGGCGGTGAGATATGTAGCGGAACCCTCATCACTCCCAATCGAATACAAGACCCTCGGAGAGATTGCCAGGGCGTCCGACGGACTCTCTTGGGCCTCCGACCATACGGACCAAACCAACCAACCACTCTGCCAACCCAACAAGCAGACAGCCGGGCCGCCAACCCACCAGCCAACCAACCGACCAACCGACCAACCAACGTCCACACCAATCCATCGGGCGACCGACCCTCGAACCGGCCAGTTGACCAAGCAACCTGCCGGCGGCAGAACGTGAGGCCCGAGGCACTGCCTGTAGACTGGCCCCCTCTCGGTGTTTGGCGTGCACCTGCGCGTGCGAGCTTTCGCGCAGCTCCACGTCGAAGTCGCCCGTTGGCCGCGTCAGGAACGCGCGGGCGCGGTCGGCGTCCCTCAGCGCGACGTCTTCCAGCGGTGCCTCTCCGGCGGCGGCGCCGCGAGCCATCGCGCCGTAGTGGTGACAGTAACCGTGGTCATGTGAATCATGCCACGGTCCAGGCTTCGCCTCTGTTGCCGTAGGAGCAACGGCAGCAGCGGCTGACACGGTCGCAGTGGCGCGTGTGGCTGCCGCAACAATGCCTGGGCGCCCGTGGCAGCCGAGAGCACCGAGAGGCCGTCCTCCTGGTGGGGCCCGTCTGAAGATGCTTCAGGGGAGGGCCTCGACACGGGTTCAGAGGAGAGCCTTGAAAAGGCCTCCGAAGATGGCTCCAAATATGCTGCACACGAAGACTCTGACGAGGCCTCGGACGGCTTTGGTGAGGCTTCTCGCAAGTTCTGAAGCCAGGTGAAAGGCACAGCTTGCCTGGGAAGTTGCCAGCTAGCCGAGGGAAAGCACTTCTATTCCCTCGTCCGCCCCTCCTCTCCGCCCTCGCCTCTTGCTCTCCCTGCTCCTCCTGCTCCTGCTCCTTCACTCTGCTGCTTCTCCTGCTCCCCCTCCTTTCTTTGCTCCTCCTGCCGCTCAGATCCTGCTTCGCCACCTCCTCCTCCGCCCTCCTCCCTGCCCCCGGACCCTCGAGGTCGCGTCCTGGCCGCAGCGTGGGCCCCATGGAGGTTCGGACCAGGCCCTGGCGCCAGGCCCCAGCCCTCTCCAGGGGGTGCGTCCTGACCAGAACAGCGAGCAGAAGCCAGCCGTGGCGACGAGTGCCCTCCGGGACAAACAACGTTACCAATAACTACCCTTTTTCTGCCCGTGGGAGGCACCTTCCGCCACGACCGTCGCACGACGTGGGGAAGCCAAGGCCCCCCCCCCCCTCCCTGCTGCCGCTGCCCAGCCCAAGGGGGGCCGCCGAGAGGACCCTCCTGCGCCACCGTCTTGCGGAGGTTGCAGCACCGCTTGACGAGCAGGGTGGCCGTCCAGCCCGCGGGGATCCAGACCAGCATGCAGACGAGGACGCGCATGTCCCACCCTCTGGGGCCCGCGGGGCGGAGGGACCAAAAAAAAAGAGGAGAGGGAGGGATACTGGAGGCGACATTGGAGGCGAAATCGGCGGCGAGATTGGAGGGGAGGAGTGAGGAGTTAGGTGTGGGGGGGAGGAGGAGGAGGAGGAGGAGGAGGAGGAGGAGGAGGAGGAGGAGGAGGAGGAGGAGGAGGAGAGGAGGAGGAGGAGGAGGAGGAGGAGGAGGGGGAGGGGGAGGAGGAGGAGGAGGAGGAGGAGGGGGAGGAGGGGGGGCGGCAGTCGGAGACTCCTCACGCCATCAGGAAACAGGAAACAGGAGGAGGAGGAGGAGGCGGAGGAGGCGGGAGGTCAAGAGGATGGCTGGTGGGGACTGGGTGGGAGGGGCAAGCGCTCTCCTGCTACAAGGGCCCCTCGGCCGAGTGCCGGGGCCCCATGGAGAGGCCCGATGGACGGAGAGGGCACGCCGAGGTGGAGGGCCCAGTCACGAAGAACGCAGGCGTGCCGCTCCAAAGCCAGGGTTGTTCGGAACCCTCGTGACCACTCCAGCAGGGGGTACAGGCCCTTGCCTCCCTCTGCCTTATGATGTTCCAACTACTTCAGCCTTGACCGCCAGGAAAAAATCGAGCACCAGGAAAGTACCCAAATGGGAGGGTTTTCACGTGTCGGGCCCTGGGAGGCGATACTCGTTCGACACTGTTTCGATACTTTTCTGGGTGTTCGGAATTTATACTGGGATGTGGTCCTTAAGTACGATGGGAGCAACATAACTCTAGCACGGGGGCCAGGCCCTCGCCTCCCTCTGCTCGGGTGGCGCTGCGTTTTGCCCAGCGGAACTGCAGTTGCTCTCCAATTCTCAGTGGCCCGAGCAGGGCCACCGGGCGCACATCCCCATCCTCGAGCCTCGACCCTCGATCCTGGACCCTCAATCTTCACCTTTCATCCCCAAGCCCTTCCTTACTATTTGCTCAACTCTCCTCCTGTCTTGTGATCCTTCGCCAAATCTACCACGGCGGTGAACATCCAATTCCTTTCGAGTCTTCCCTCCTACCCTCAAAAGGAAGAACCCTCCTCCTCTTCCTCCTCCTCCTCCTCCTCCTCCTCTCCGCCTCCTCCTCCTCCTCCTCCTCCTCCTCTTCCTCCTCCTCCTCCCCCTCCTCCTCCCCCTCGCTCGCCGCCGCATCTAGCTTTTGGCTCATAACTCGGGTCTCCGGCCTCCGCGCGGCCCGGGAACGCCCTCGGCGAGGCGCCGCCGATAGCATGCCACCTGAGGCTAGAAGACCGCCGAGCACCGACGAAAGCGTCCCAAAACCTCGGACCTCGAACCCGAAACTTCCCCCCCGAGGGGGAGGAGGGGGAGGAGGAGGAGGAGGAGGAGGAGGAGGAGGAGGAGGAGGAGGAGGAGGAGGAGGAGGAAGAGGAGGAGGAGGAGGAGGAGGAGGAGGAGGGAGGAGGAGGAGGAGGAGGAGGAGGAGGAGGAGGAGGAGGAGGCGGAGGGAGGAGGAGGAGGAGGACGGGGAGGAGGAGGAGGAGGAGGAGGAGGAGGGAGGAGGAGGAGGAGGAGGAGAGGAGGAGGAGGAGGAGGAGGAGGACAGGAGGAGGAGGAGGAGGGATGACGGGGAGGAGGAGGAGGAGGAGGAGGAGGAGGAGGAGGAGGAGGAGGAGGAGGAGGAGGAGGAGGAGGAGGAGGGCTCGCCGCCGAGGGGCCCCCCGCGGCGCCTGCGAAGAGGCCGCCGCGCCACGTCGCCGGCGCGGCCCGGTGGCCCGCGAGCGGCACCGCCAACAGCAGCAGGGCGTTCACGCCCACCTCTGGCGCTGGGGCTCTGCGGGGGGTGCCGAGGCCTCGGCCCTCGGCCCTCGAGGAATAAAATCACCCCAGTGCGACCCTACCTAGAAATTGGAGCCCCTAGGAAAGCAGCATTAGTTGCTATGCTATGCTATGCAATGCTATGCTATGCTATGCTATACCATGCTATGCTGCGCTATGCTATGAAAGGCTATGATATACTATGCTATGCTATGCTAAGCTATGTCATGCTGCACTGTGCTATGCTAAGCTATGCTATACCATGCTATGCTATGCCAAGCTGCGCTATGCTATGATATGATATGCTATGCTATGCTATGCTATGCTGCGCTATGCTATGCTATGCTATGCTTGGCTATGTGATGCTATGCTATGCTATGCTAATGCAGCGCTGCGCTATGCTAAGCTAACCCTCTAGGCAGAGCCTAGGTAGGGAATTACACCCATGCTATGCTACGCTATGTTATCCTATGCTGTGCTCTGCTATGCTAAAGCTCAGCGAAGCTAAGATGAAGGTAAGCTAAGCTAAGATAACCCTGAGCTAAGATGAAACTAGGCTAAGCTAAGATGAAATAAGCTAAGCAAAGATGAGATAAGCAACGCTAAGCTAAAGGGACGTAGCTGGGGGAACCGCGGGACGGATACAGGGGGAACCGCCCGGGGCGCTTTCCACTGCCCGGCCCCTTTAAGCCCAGAGAGTAAAAACCCTTCTAGGCAGAGCCTAGGTAGGGAATTACTACAAGAAGAAGAAGAAGACGAATAATAATGATAATAAGAATAATAATAATAATCAAAAGAAGAACGAACATAATCTGTTGGCGCTCCGCGTGGGTTTCGTGGATCCCCGCTGGACGCCCCTCCCTGGCGCGTGGAGCGCGCCAGGGGTGGCGCCGGAGGCGCCGCCGTGGGGGCCCAGGCGCCGATCCAAAAACTCCGCGCGGAGCGCCAAACGTTTGTGTTTATGGCGTTTTTTCTTCTTCGAAAAAGGGGGCCCAAGGACACACAAGTGAATAAGAACAACTCCCAAGATCCGTATTCTGCGCCAGTGACGTCACGAGACCACGACAACGCCGACACTACATGCCTCGGAAGAAATTAGCGAACACTCATGCCGCATTCATCTGTCAATGCCCCCCCAATGATCAATGTTGGCGGTGGGTTGGATGAGCTGCACTGCGACCGCGGTCTTCCCCGCGCGTGCCAACTTTGAGTTCTGGGGAGCGGGGGAGTGTCCACTCATTGTTTCCCTCTACCGTACGATGGCAATTGCACTGGCTGGGAAAAGCGACGCCGCCGAGGTGGACCTCGTGTGAACATGGTTTCTAGGCAAGCGCGTTCCGCTACTCGCAAAGTCACTACTCGCAAATGGCCTGGATTCGCCGCGGGGGATCTACGATAAATCACACCAAAGCCGACATTTGTTTTTCGGACGCTTGCGAGTAGGCAGTCTGCGAGCAGTGGAACGCGCTCGGCGAATTTCTGCAATTCTGACTTGCTGTGGCCTCGCGCCCCTTGCCCAGACGGACATGGGCACACGCGCCTCGCCGCACGTGCCGGGGCTTCGGCGCCTCGCGCGCTCGCTCGCCCTCGAGGGTCGAGGACTGGGAGCGCATTTTTCCAAGGGGAAGAGAAGAGCTCGCTCGAGGAGGGGAACACACACAGGTTTACAACTCTCTGGGCTATAGAAGTCTCGGGGATGGCCAGAACCACCTGTGGCACAACGTGGTTTAGTGGAAACGGCCTCGGGCCCAAACCTGGCGGGCGCAAGCCTGGAAAGTGACGGCCGCGGCGCCCTCTCGGGAACCGGAACCGCAAACGTCAGGGTAGGGGTTCTGTACACCCCCGAAAGCCTAGGCCGCAGAAATCGCGCAAGAAGCGTTGCGCGCTCCCCGTTCGGCCGCCAAGCCCCGGTGCAGTGTTGCAGTGCTCAGCTTGCGACCCTCCGCTGCACCTGTCGGTCTCTGATGCGATGATGGCCAAGCGGGGTGTGGACCCGAAATTCGCATTCCGCTCAGGGACAAATCTCTGAAAGCATTCTGCGGTCGTCTTTCGCGGCGACCGGACGATTTCTCGGGTCTCTGGAAAGTGGTGATTTCGCAAGGGACTTCCTCGACGAACATAAACAATCCTGGGTGGACTCTCCTTCTGTTTACTGTCGACCCAACCCCCCTCCCACCCTCCCCTTGTGCTTTGCCGAGCAAAGGGAGGTGTGCATGCGAGGGTGCACGCGCCTGCCTGTGGCACTGCAGTTGGCCTTGCCGCGGTGCTGAACGAGGGGAGTGGGCGGAGGTGCAAATCCGTCCTCCTGGCTTCGTGGCTGCCGCGGCGCCGCCGTGCCGCCTCGAGGCCAGTGGGCCGCAGGAGGTGGAGGAGAAAAGTCTGGAAACGTGCGCTGGGCATGGCGCTCTCGTGAGGCCCCGTCTGGGCATAGGAGTGGGCGGGGCGCGGCCAACGCTGGTGCGGCCGTTGGGCGCGCCGAAGGTCTTCCGTCGCCGCGTGGAGGGCCGCGCGAGCTGATGGCGCGCCAGCCGGAGGGCGGCGGCGATCGTCGACGCAGTGTGCGGTGACCGACCTCCGAGCTCGTTGTGCAGGGCACATGCATACACGACGGGCGTGATACCCAAATATCCGCCGATCTGTTTTTTTCAATCCGCGGCCCCAAAGGTCCAAGAAACCGGGGAGGGCAGCGGGGGGAGGAGGGACATCGTCGTCATCATCGTCCGTCGTTGACCCAGTCGTCGGTCGTCGTCGTCGTCGTCATCGTCCGTTCCCACACGCATCGGGAGCGCCCCGGATCGGCGGCACTGGCCGGAGGACATTACGATATCCGCCGATATGTTTTTTCAGTCCTCGGCCCCAGAGGTCCCGACCCCTTCCCCGGGAGTGGTTCTTCGCCCCGGATCCATTTTGGATGGTCCCCGGGCACGGCAGCGGGCCCCGGAGGCCGACGTCCAGGACAAACTCGCCGGACAGGAAAAACAGATCCTCGGATCTCTGTGTAGGGACGCGCCTCCTCCTCCTCCTCCTCCTCCTCCTCCTTCCCTCCTCCTCCTCCTCCTCCTCCTCCTCCTCCTCCTCCTCCTCCTCCTCCTTCCCCCGCATGTCGGACAAGGTCGACTCTCGGGCCGCTACCCATCGCTCCGACGCAGCCGCCTCCTTCCTCCTTCTGCCCCAGACCCCCGACGTCGCGATTTTTTCGCAACGTCGACCCCCAGAGGTCTGGGCCCCTTCCCAGGGACCGGTTCCCAGACATGCTCGCGTCGTAGAAAAAAATCGGGACGCGAAGTTTTTGCCAATTTTCGGCCTCGGGGGGCCCTCGCGGGCCAACAAAAACGACTCAGGATGGAAACCCGGTCCCAGGGAAAGGGTAGGGACTTCCAGGGACGCCGTCCTGAAAAAATCAGGACGAGGCATGTCTGGGTTCCTCGTGCCGAGTCGTGTCTTCACGCTCCCGAGGCCCGGGAAGGCATCCGGAGCCCGAAAACAATGAAAGACCTCCCGTCGCCACGCGAGGGGGCCTGGGCAGGATGGCACAGCCAGGGGTTGGCGGGCCAGGCTCGGGGCCGGATGCAGAGGCCCCGCGCGGGCTGGGCAGGACTGAGAAGGCCGGCGGCCTCTTGGAGGCCCTGCCGGCTCCTCGGAGGCCCCTGGGCCCCTCGGAGAAGGCCCCCCCCCGCCTGCTGAGGTGCCCCCTGCCCTGCTGCTGCAAGGCAGCCGCCAGCCGCCTTCGCTTGGGAGACCAAAAGGGGGCCCGTGCTGCTGCTCCCTGGACCTCTCCCGGGGTGCGTGAGGGCCAGAACCTCGAGGCGCACCCAGCAGTGGCGACGAGGGGGCCTCCCAGGAGGCCCCCCAAATGGGAAAACGAGGGAAGTGTACGGGCACCGTTTCCTCCTCGGATTCGCGCTGCTGCCCTCGGCGCGCCGCCAAGCCCAGACCCCCGACGTTGTGTGACTTTTTCACAACGTCGACCCTCATGGAGGTCTGGACCCCTTCCCCGGGGACCAGTTTTTCATCCTGAGTCGAATTTTTGATGGTCCCCAGAAGGGCCCCCTGAGGCCGAAAATACATAGCGAAAAACCTGCCGCCATGATTTTTTCACAACGCGAGGGGGTCTGGGAACGCTCCTCGAACCCCCCCCCCCTGGCGAGCCCTCGTGAGGCGCCGCTCTCTGCCAGGTGACTCCCCGCGCGTGGCGGCGCCTCCCCGAGCAACAGCTGGCACTTCTGCACGTGCAGCCGCGCCTCTCCGCGCGCGAGCGCCGAGACAGGCGACGGCGCCGGAGACCCAGACCTCCTCCCTGATTCAGACCTCCTCGTGTTGGGAAGAAATCGCGCTGGGAAGTTGTTCACTATTTTCGGCCTCCAAGGGCCCTTCCCGGGCCTCGGGACCGGCAAAAACGGCTCAGGATGAAACGCCGGTCCCGGGGAAGGGGTCCAGACCTCTGGGGGTCGACGTTGTGAGAAAATCATGACGTCGGGGGTCTGATGACCCAGACCCCCTCTCTGAGATCCTGGCGTCTCATTTTTTTCGAGCCGGGCGTTTTCGTCAGGTTTCGGGCCCTGGGACCCTCGCAGATCGATCCAGCTCGAAAAATGGCGCAGAAAGATGGGGTCAAGGGCTCTGGTCGTGATTTTTCGAAATGTGTTACTTTTCCCAGCCATCCTGTGGTGCTGGGTCTTCGTTTTGAAGCGACAGCGCCCCGCGTCTCACTCCTGGCTCCTCCTCCTCCGCCTCATCCCTCCTCCCATCCCTGCCTCTGCTCGTCGCATGCCACATCCTCAGCATCCTCAGCATCATCATCATCATCATCATCATCATCATCATCATCATCATCATCATCATCATCATCACCACCACCACCACCACTCATCATCGTCATCGTCATCGTCATCGTCATCGTCATCGTCATCATAAGCATCATCATCATCGTCATCGTCATCGTCATCGTCGGCGTCAGCGTCAGCATCAGCATCCTCATCATCATCCTCATCCTCAATCTCATCCTCACCCTCATCCTCATCCTCATCCTCATCCTCATCACCATCCTCATCATCACCATCACAATCACAATCACCATCACCATCACCATCACCACCACCACCACCACCATCACCATCACCATCACCATCACCATCACCATCACCATCATTATCACCATCACCATCACCATCACCATCACCATCACCATCACCATCACCAGCAGCAGCATCAGCATCAGCATCAGCATCATCAGCATCAGCAGCATCAGCATCAGCATCAGCATCAGCATCAGCATCAGCATCAGCATCAGCATCAGCATCATCATCATCATCATCATCATCATCATCATCATCATCGTCATCGCGTTCGTCATCGCCATCGTCACCCCCGTTTCGGCACCACCCTTACACGCTTCGTGGCCCCACAAGGAGCTCCAACTACGGTTCCAGTGGCGCAACCCGCTTTTGGGCGACACTCCCGTGTCGGCACACCTCTCATACGTGTCGTGGCTCCACAGGGAGCTTCCCCTAAGGCCCAGGCGCCGTTCGCATGTGGGCGTCACCCCCGTTTCGGCACACCCCTCACACGTTTCGTGGCTCCACAGAGAGCTCCACCTGAGGCCCCAGTGGCACCGTTCGCATGTGGGCGTCACCCCTGTTTCGGCACACCCCCTACACGCTTCGTGGCCCCACAGGGAGCTCCACCTAAGGCCCGAGGGGCACCGTTCGCAAGTGGGCGTCGCCCCGGTTTCGGCACACCTGTCACACGCTTCGTGGCCCCATAGGAAGCTTCAGCCACGGCCCCCGTTTCGGCACACCTGTCACACGCTTCGTCGCCCCACAGGGAACTCCACCGAATTCTCCAGTGGCGCAGCCCGCATGTGGGCGACACTCCTTTTTTCTGGCGCACCCCTCACACGTTTCGTGGCCCCACAAGGAGCTCCCCCTACGGTCCCAATGGCGCAGCCCGCTTGTGGGCGACACTCCCATGTCGGCACACCTCTCACACGTTTCGTGTCTCCACAGGGAGCTTCATCGAAGGCCCCAATGGCACAGCCCGCATGCGGGGGTTGCCCCACAAGGAGTTTCACCTCAGATCGTACTCACAATTTCGGTATTCATAATTGCATATGGTTGGGTTCTTCGTCCGGACTTTTTTTTGCAACGTCGGATATCAGGGGACCCAGACCCCCTCGAGTCGTGAAAAATTCGCGGCGGGAAATGTCTCGCTATTTTCGGCATCTAGGGCCCTTGCCAGGCCGTCAAAAAACGACTCGGGATGAAGAACCGGTCCCCGGGAAGGGGTCCAGACGGGGACGGATAAGACTAAGCCAGGACGAGGACAAACTCGCACGAAGATGGGTCGAGAATCTCTGAGATTCGGCGGCTCTGGAGGCTGTCTCGGGTGCCGCGGTCTCCTCAGAGCGTTCCAGAACGCTCTCAGAGCGTTCTGGAACGCCCTGGAAAGGATTTATCCTCGTCCTTGCCCCGTCCGAGCGGAGCCGGAGACGAAGCCGCGGCCAGGGCCCACTGCCGACCCAACAACTCCGCGCGGACCTCCGACAGTTCATACCCGTGCAGCCTCTCCACCTTCTTCCTCCTTTCTCCCCCAATATTTTGTTATTCTTCGATGCCCGCTTTTCTGGAGGAGGAGGAGGAGGGGGAGGAGGAGGAGGAGGAGGAGGAGAAGGAGGAGGGAGAGGATGAGGAGGAGGAGGCGGAGGAGGAGGAGGAGGAGGAGGAGGAGGAGGAGGAGGAGGAGAGAGTAGGAGGAGAAGGAGGACGGTAATACATGGAGGAAAAGGAGGAGGAGGGGGAGGGCGAGGAGGAGGAGGAGGAGGAGGAGGAGGAGGAGGAGGAGGAGGAGGGAGGAGGAGGAGGGGAGGAGGAGGAGGAGGACTTATCCTCGTCCTTGCCCCGTCCGAGCGGAGCCGGAGACGAAGCCGCGGCCAGGGCCCAAGCTAGATGGGGCAGATATCGGAGCAGGCAGTCAGCTGACGTGTGCGGGCGTCCGCGCGCCGAGAGAGAGGTCGGCACGCGACCTCGCCCTCCATGAGGTCGCGGCCGAGCGGAGGATGAGGATGAGGATGAGGAGGAGGAGGTGGAGGCGGAGGCGAGGCGGGGAGGAGGGGGAGGCGGAGGAGGAGAAGGAGAGGAGGAGGAGGAGGAGGAGGAGGAGGAGGAGGAGGAGGAGGAGGACTTATCCTCGTCCTTGCCCCGTCCGAGCGGAGCCGGAGACGAAGCCGCGGCCAGGGCCCAAGCTAGATTGGGCAGATGCAGGCAGTCAGCTGACGTGTGCGGGCGTCCGCCCGCCGAGAGAGAGGTCGGCACGCAGACCTCTGGCGGCCCTCCATGAGGTCTCGGCCGAGCGGAGGAGGAGGATGAGGATGAGGATGAGGAGGAGGAGGTGGAGGCGGAGGCGGAGGCGGAGGCGGAGGAGGAGGAGGAGGAGGAGGAGGAGGAGGAGGAGAGGAGGAGGAGGAGGAGGGGAGGAGGAGGAGGAGGAGGAGGAGGAGGAGGAGGAGGAGGAGGAGGAGGAGGAGAAGGCGTGGTGCAGCCTCGCTCGGGCGACCGCTTCCCTCGCACCCCGGCAGGGATTCACCGTTCTCCAGCTTTTTTTTGGCCCGTCCGGGGCCGCCACGCAGCTCCCCGACCCACGCGGCGTGCGTTCGCCGCCCGCTTCTCTCCCTCCTCCGCGGCCGCCCTGGGCCTCCTCTGGCCCCCCTCGTGTTTGCTTGTCGCCTGCCTGCGGCCCGACTCTTGCCGGATCTGCACCGGCTGCGGCCCCTCGTGCTTGCCCAGGCCCCCATCGGCGAGGAGTGGTCGTGTGGGGGGCCAGGCTCTCCCCCCAGGAGCCCCCCTCCTCCCCCTCCCCCAGCCCCCTCCCCCTCCTCCTCCCTCCCCTCCCCTCCCCCTCCTCCTCCCCCCCCCTCCCCCCCCCCTCTCCTCCCTCCCCTTCCTCCTCCTCCATCCCCCTCCTCCTCCCTCCTCCTCCTCCTCCTCCTACTCCCTCCTCTCTCCTCCTCCTCACCCCACCACCTCCACCACCTCCACCACCACCACCACAACTCCACACCTCCACCATCCACCCCCACCTCCACCCCCTCCTCCTCCTCCTCCTCCTCCGCCTCCTCCTCCTCCGCCTCCTCCTCCCCTGTGCCCTGTAGAGGCCAGCCGGGACTACCTGGGGGCTGTCTGTGCGCAACCCGAAGCCTTACCAGCCGGAGGTCTGGGGAGGTGGACGAAGAATGCGAAAGGACATGCAAAAGCCGCTTTTTCCACCTCAGGAGGAGCCCAACTCAGTGCGGCTGTGGCACCGTCGATGCTCGACGGAAGGTCCTACACGCTCAGGCACACGTAATCACACACACACACACGCGCAAACACACACACACACAGACACGCACACCGGCTCGCACATACACGCAGACTTACACGTACAGACAAAAACACAGACACACTTTTACTCCAATGGCGAGGCGACGACTCCGTCGCGAAACGCTAGGCCAGGACACGCTTAGGCCAATTTCCACCTGGCATCGCAGACGGGCTGACACGACACATGTGGCGAAACGCAGACACGCACACACACACACGCGCACTTTTTCCCTCGGCAACCTATCGCTCTGCGTCCGGGCGGTTTCGCGACGCCTAACCCGACTAGCGGCGAGGCGACTGCAGGCGGACAGTGGCGGATGAAGGACAAGGAGACGGCGAGAGCGAAAGACGAGAGGGCCGCGAGCCGCGAGGCGCCCAACTGGGCTGGGGAGGCAGCGCTACATCGCAAGGTATGCCAGGGAAGGCGATGCCTGGCGCAGTGGGGGAGCGACGCGTGCCCGAGAGCGCCCTCACACAGGGACAGACAGGCACAGACACAGACACACACACAGACACACAGCGGTACAGACACATGTACTACACCGACGCAGACACAGGCACACACAAAATAGACAGACTCTGCGCAATAAGTCTGTCCGGACGGAAGTTGCAGCAGGGAGGCCTGCAAACCCGTGCTTGCTGTCAGGCACGGCGCACACCTCACCACCTGCAACTGGCGCCTGGCTCCCCCGGGAAAAATCCTGAGCAAGGACTTCTCCCAGGGGTGGGAGTCGCTCGCCTCCTGGCGACAGCCGGGAGCTCGACGAAAATCCAAGTCGCCTTCGCCCCAGCGAGGCGGCGCCCGCCCTGCACAGCACTCCGGCCCCGAGCCCGCGCGGCGAGAGACCGCGCGCCGAGCAGAGCGCCGCATCTGCCCAGGTCGCCGCGGCGCCCCCCAGCCTGGCCCACCGGCCGCCGCCCGAGTCGCAGTCCGCCCCGTGCCAGGCCTTCGCTGCGGGTGTCTGCGGCAACGCTCGGCGGCGCCGCGCCGGCTCCGCGGCGCCCGGCGCGGTGGCCTTCGCCGCCCTGGCGCCTCGCCTCGCCCGCCGGCGCCGCCCGCGCAAGCCCGCGGCGGCGCGCAGTTGGCGCGCCAGCTCGCCCTGCAGGCCGTGTGCGAACCCGCAGCGCGCTCGCTGGCCTGCTCGGCGTCGGGCAGGCGGCGCACCTCTGCCCTGGGCGCCTCTAGCCAGAGGCGCGCCTCACAGAGTCGCGCCTCAGCCCCGAGCCGCTCCTCGCCTCGAGGACCGCCGGGGCGAGGCGTTTGCCGGCCTCTTCCTCCTCCTCCTCCGTCTCAGCTCCAGCCGCTTCCCGCCTCGAGGGCGACTGGGGCGAGGCACTTGCCGGGGTGGCGAGCGTGGTGCTCCTCTCGCTCGCCGCGCTGGCTCGTCTCGCCGCCGCGGCGGGCCGCGGCCCCCGCTGCCCCGCCGGGATGCCTGCGGCGTGGTGCCCCGCCGGCACGTCGCGCCGACGTCGGGCACCTCGCGCTCCGTCCCACCAGCGTGACCAGGGCGCGGCCTGTCCCACACACTGGAAGGGACCTCTCAAGCTCTCGTCAGGCCTGCGCAGAGTCCACAAGAGCAAGAACGGCACAGGAGGGCGTGCAGGCAGCTGCGGAGCTCGGACATGCAGAGGCAGGGTGCGGACGAAGCTGCAAAGCCCTAGTAGAATAGAGCATTGACAGCGCGAGCACCAAACCTGCAAGTGGCCGGGGACCCGCTGCTCGTAGAGCGGGAGTTCGTGCCTCCAGCGCCGCAGCAATGCGCCGAACCGTGGGGCCAGCCTGCCGCGCCTGCGCAACACGCCTCCGCCGCTGTGGCGGGTTGCGCCGTGGTAGCCAGACAAGCGGACGGAAAGACACAGACAGACAACAGAGAGACAGAGAGACAGATAGACAGACAGACAAACAATCACACAGACACACAGACACACGCACACACATACACATGCATACACACACACTCACCCGCACACACACACACGCGCACGCACGCACACCGAAACTCCCCCCCCCCACACACACACCCATCCACCCACACGCCTACACGCCCACGCCCCCTCCCCCCCCCCACACACACTCCAACCCCACACGACACGCACTCGCATACGCACATGGACACTCGCGCGCACGCGCACACGCGCATACACACACTTACACACCCACCCACCTACGCAAACGTACGCAAACATGGGGATGCAATGGAGGCGGGAGGAGTGAGAAGGACCAACCAAACAAATCGAACACAACAAGTGAACACGAGGGTAGAGGTACACGGAGGAAACGAGGAAGGGTCCATGGATGATGAAGGAATGGGCCGTTGGGAACCAGGACGACGACACTCGGCCAGGAAGAAAGGGTGCCTGGCCGCCTTTGCCACTCTTGAGGAACTTCTCCATGAAAAGCGCGCCCAAAGAGTTGGAGGCGATGGCCATCAGTATCAATAGTACTCCAACAACCTGTCAAGAGAAAACCAAAAAGGAGACGTGATGGCTGACCTGAGGATTGGGGCATCTTCCTCCCTTTGCCAGCGCCGAGTGCATGTCCGAATGCGCCAAGAAGGCCTCGCCCTCCGATTGGGCAAACACGAACTATGCTGCGGCGCGTGCGAATAGGAACCCCCAGTCAGGAGCCGGCAGCAGTGTAACTACCCCATCGCGGTTTGCATGGCCTCCAGTTGTACTGGCTCGAACGGCTGCAGAGCATCCGAAAGCTGTCTACATGCCATCTAATGATCGAGCGCTCCTGACTCCTCGCTCTTATCTGGAAAAGATCTCGATGCGAGTCACATGCGAAACAGACGGCAGGACCCGAGGGATGGTCAATCTGAGCGTGCCCCCATCCAGACTGCTGCCGCCCTCTCCTTCCCCCCCCCTGGTCTTGTTCCGGTTCTTGGTGCCAGGTTCGGCAACGATGCACGTGGCCGTGGTACCGCTCAGTGCCAGCGCCGTGTCTGGTAGCGGACAGACTGTCCCCAACAGTCCTGGCCGCGAGAACGCTCGGGGTCCAGGCTGCCAGCGTGGCCAACCCGGCGCGGCAACCCGTGGCCTCGGCGGTCTGAGCGCTGTCGGAACCCGGCAGGGCAGCGGCGCATGCTGCGAGAGGCGCACGTTAAGGCCGCCTGCTGGGGTCGTGTCCCCAGAGTGTGGCGCCGGCAGCTGCGGTCCTTCCTGCGCCGGAGCGCGCCCCCCTCCATCGTCGGAGGTGGCCTCCGACGGCCTCTGGGTGCGTTCCTGGTCTGGGAAAAGGGAACGTGGGACGATCGGTGATCTCCTGGCCCGGGTCCAGTCAGTCAGGCCTTGCAGCATCCTGCAAGATCCTGCACCCAGACCCGGGTCAACGCGAAGGATCCTGCAAGATCCTGCGGGATCCTTCCTGCACCCACACCCGGGCCAATGCGACCCTGTCCCTGCAGGATCCTGCAAGAACTGGAGCTCTGGCTGACCCCCGTTGGCATTGACCCCCGTCGCAAGGCTCCCGAGGGACGGCAGCAGCTTCTGCTCCGGGCTCCAGAGGTCTGCTGGCCACCGGGGTCCTACAGTGAGCGCAACGAGTCCGGCTGGCTGGCAGGTTGGCTCCTCCCCTGACCTTCCAGAGTGCAAAACAAAAATAGCCCTCCAGATCTGTAGAGCTGTCCAGGCTGCTTAAAACCCCGACGGGAATTTAGATGTCGAGGTCCTGGTGTTGTTTTTAGCCCTCCTGGAAGGTCAGGATCCCCCTCCCCCTCCTTCTCCTGCTCCTGGAGAGGACCATGTCGCCTCCCTCTGTCTGGGACGCTCTTGGGGGGGGGGGGCGCCTCCGACGACGAGCGTGTAGGACGCAGCCCGTGCACGCGAACGTCGTCTGGCCCGGCGTGGGCCCGACGGAGCATTCCCGGGGCCTCTTCGGGCTGCTTCCGAGCCAGCGGTCTCGCGACTCCCTCGGAGACCCCCCTCTGTGAGCCCAGCGATGCCGTCTTTGGGGGTGTGGTGGCCGCTCGGAGGAATCCTTCCGGGGCCATCCTCCCTCCTCGCTCCTCCCTCTGCCACCCCTTTCCCCCCTCGCTCCTCCCTCCTCTCCCCTCGCTGCTCCCTCCTCGCTCCCCTCTGCTCCCTTCTCTCGCCCCTTGCTCCTCACTCGCCTCTCCTCGATCCTCCATTACCCCGCCTTCCTCATCGCTCTTTCCTCCTCGGTCTTCCCAAATCCCTCCTCTCTCCTGCTTGCCTGCCTGCCTAAAACACTGAAGCGCGCGTTTGCGTTTTCGTGCCCCCCAAAAAGGACGTCTGGGCGCTGTCTTGAGCTTTCTTGAGCTCTAGGTCCCCTTGGAGCTTCCTAGGGCCCTCTGGAAATATGCTGCTGGCGCCTCTTGTGGCCCTCTTGAGGCTCCCTTCGGTTGTCCTGGGGGTCTCGTTGGGGCACTCTTGGTTTGTCTTGGAGCCTCTTGGGGCCCTCGTGAAGTCTCTTGGGGGCCTTTTTGGAACCTCTTGATGGCCCAAGTGTTCTCCGACTACTCACTCCGAAACCTGCTCAGCGTATGATCCTCGTTGGAGCTCCAAACGCAAACAGCAATACATTTGCTTGAAGAGTTGCGAGCCCCCCCAGCCGCACATTTGGAAGCATATTGAAGCTCTCTTGGGCACTTGCTGCCCTCTTGGGAGCATCTTGGTCTTATCGGGCCCTCCTGGGGTCTCTTGGGGCTTTCTAAGGGCCGGGCGGGCCCTAAAATTGATATTAAGGCAACTCCGGTGCAAAATCCTCTTCGAAGCAAAACCACTGAAACATTAAAGCGCTGATTGCTTATGCTAATTTTTGGCCTCCGCCCGACTGCCTACGAGAGGCCGTCTTGGGCCACCTTCCGAGCACGCCCTTTCAAGCTGTCTTGGGCTCTTGGGGCCCTCTCTGTGGTCTCTTGTGGCAGCTTGGGGTCCTCTTGGGGCATCTCGGGGCCATGCTGGGGCTCTTCTGGAATCCGCGAGTGGTTCTGAAGCGAACGCGCGAAAAGGCTGGAAGCCCCGGGGTTATTCTACCTCAGTGGCTGCTTCGGGGACCTGATCCTATCCTCCATTCTCGCACCTCGCGAAACCTGCCCGCCCGGCTCCCGCCGCCGCGATCTGGATCCTCCATCCTCGACGTCCTCCTCCTCCTCCTCCTCCTCCTTTTCCTCCTCCTTCTCCTCCTCCTCCTCCTCCTCCTCCTCCCCCTCCTCCTCCTCCTTCTCCTCTTCCTCCTCCTCTTCCTCCTCCTCCTCTCCTCTTCTCTCCTCCTCCTCCTCCTCCTCCTCCTCCTCCTCCTCCTCCTCCTCCCCCTCCCCCTCCCCCTCTTCCTCCTCCTCCTCCTCCTCCTCCTCCGTCCTCCTCCATCGGACACGAGTGTGCATGTGTACACGTGTGTGTACATACAATTGCATACATGCACATATACACATTTTTATATGTCTATACACAAGACTGCATTGGCGCTTCGCGCCGTGCGCCGTGTTCCGGACGATCCCCCAGCAAAGCAATACATCATCGCTTGCTTCAGCAGGGGAGACCTCGAGGCCTGGACCCGCGATCGGCTAATTTTTCTGGTCTCCCTGCTGGTGCCTGCTGACACCGCGTTTGCCCGATGCGCTTGGACGCTTGTGCGCAGGAATGTGGAAGGAATGACAATTTTTGCACGCGCGAAGGTGTTCGCAAACGACGAAGCATCAAACTGTTGAGATGGCGCCTGTCCATGAACGGGGAACGGGAAGGGACCAGGGATGAGGGGGGGGCTGAAGAGGCGGAAGAGGGAAGGAGAGGGGGGAGAAAGGGAAGACGGTCTAGAGGAAGGAGCGGGCGAATGAGGATGGCCATCGGATTTCACGAACGTGGAGGTCGACGACGAAGGCAGAGGGGGGAAGGGAGAGAAAGAGAGAGAGGGAGAGAGAGAGAGAGAGATAGAGAGGTTCGGGAAAGACAGGCGGGCTGGCGTGAACGCAACGGGCGCACGGAGAACGCAGTCTGGGCGTTTTTGGGGCTCTTTTGGGCCGTCCTGGGGCCCTCTTGGGCCATCCTTGGGCCTTCTTGGGGAGCTGGGGCCCTCTGGAGGTCTTCTGAAGCCATCTAGGGCCCTCTTGGGGCCCTCCAGTGGCCTTCTTTGGTGGTGTCCCATGGCTTTCGTGGGTCTCTCTTGGGGGCCTTCTGGGGGCATCTTGGGCTTCTTGTGGGCAGTCTGGGGGCTCTCTGGGGCAGTCTTGGGGCCCTCTTGGGCCATCTTCAAACCCTCTGGGGGGCCTCTCGGGGCGTCTTGGGGCGACATCGGGGGCTCATCGGGCCGTCTTGGACGCTGCGACGACCGAAAAAGCGGATATGCAAAACATATCTATTTTTCCAACGGAATGGGACGAATTTTGCTTCTTTGGGCCTATCTTAACGGCTTCTTGGGGCGTCTTTGGGGTTTTGTGGGCCGTCTTCGGACCATCGCGCTCCTCTTGGAGCGCTCTTGTGCTGTCTTGGGTCGCTCGTGCGTCTCGCCAATGCCCCCTCTGATCGCTTCGAATCTGCTCGCAAGGCCCGGCAAGGCGCCCTGGGAGGCCCGGAAGGGCCAGCGGACCTTTTCCAAGGGCGTCCCAAGGGCCGCTGAGACCTCCGAAAGGGCGTCCAGGGCGTCCCTGGGGGGGGTCCGCTTTAGGGGTGGGATGGTGGTGGGGGGGGTCCGGGTAATACGTAGCACCCCGCAATTGCGGATAAGAGTGACGGGGCGGGCGCGGGCGACGCGGGCGTCGAGCCGGCGGACCTCGTGGCCCTCACCTTCCCTGTCGATGGCGCCCTCCTCCTCCTCCTCCTCCTCCTCCTCCTCCTCCTCGTCGTCCGCGTCCTCGTCCTCGTCGTCGTCGTCGTCGTCGTCGTCCGCCTCCTCCGTTCTTGGCTTGTTCAATGAACGTAGTTTGGGTCGCGGGTGGGTCGCGCGGGCTCTCCACCTCCACCTGACAGGAATTCGAAAACAGCCCGCCACAGGCGCCGAAAAAATTGAGTTGTAGACTGAACGTGGTTTGGGTCGCAGGTTCTCCACAGAAACCCGCCGCAGGCGCCGAAGTTTTGGCTTGTTCAGTGAACGTAGTTTGGGTCGCGGGTGGGTCGCGGGCTCTCAACCTCCACCTGAAAGGAATTCAAAAACAGGCCGCCGCAGGCGCAGAACATTTTGATTTGTGCACTGAACGCGGTTTGGGTCGCGGGTGGGTCGCAGGTTCTCCACCTGGAACGACTGCAGAAAAAGCCCGCCGCAAACGCCGACAAATTTTGGGTGGGTTGCGGGGTGGGTCACGGGTGGGTCGCGGGTGGGTCGCGGGTGGGTTGCGGTGGGTCGCGGGTGGGTCGCGGATGGGTCGCGGGTGGGTCGCCGGGGGGGTCGCGGGTGGGTCGCTGGTGGGTCGCGGGCGGGTAGCCGGGGGGGTCTCGGGGTTGGTCGCGGGCGGGTCGCGGCGTGGGTCGTGGGTGGGTCGCGGGTGAGTCGCGGG